CATCTTATGTAACCATAGTATAATGATCCAGAACAGGAAATTAATACTGATACAATGTTATTAGCTATACTACAAACCTTATTTAAGTTTCCCCAATGTTTCATTAATATCTTCACTCTATTCCAAGAGCATATACAGGATCCCACATTGCACTGAAGTTGACATCTTATGTAACCATAATATAATGATCAAGAACAGGAAATTAATATTGATACAATGTTATTAACTATACTACTAACATTGTTTAAGTTTCCCAGTGTTCTGTTAATATCTTTTCTCTATTCCAGGAGCCTATACAGGATCCCACACTGCATTTGTATATTTTCCTTTGTCTCCTCCAGTCTGTAATAGTTATTCAGTTTTTGCCTAGTCTAATATGACCTTGATGCTTTTAAAGAGTTTTTAAAAATCAGTTATTTTGTTGAATGTCCCTCCATTTGAGTTTGTCTGGTGCTTTCTTATTACTGGAGTCAAGTATGCATTTCTGCCAAGAATACCACACACACACCAAAAAAAAAAAAAAAGATGCTGCCAGGCGCAATGGCTCACACTGTAATCCCAGCACTTTCAGAGGCCAAGGCAGGCAGATCACTTGAGCTCAGGAGTTCGAGACCAGCCTGGGCAATGTGACAAAAGCCCTACTCTACAAAAAATACAAAAATTAGCTAGGCCTGGTGGCACACACCTGTAGTCCCAGCTCCCCAGGAAGCTGAGGAAGATCACCTGAGCCCAGGAAGTTGAGGCTACAGTAAGCTGTGATTACACTACTGTATTCCAGCCTGGGCAACAGAGCGAGACCCTGTCTCAAAAGAAAAAAAAAAAATATGATGCTGTACCCTTCTCAGAGCATCTTGTTAAAGACTTCATGATGTCCTATGTCTTACTACCTTGATCGCTTATTAAGCTGGTATGTATAGGGTTTCCATCTCCACTGTTAAATTACTTTCTTTCCCTTTTTACTTGATAAATATATTGGGGGAAATACTTAGAAACTATACAAATCTTGTTTCTCAAACTTCTGTCCACTAATTTTCATATTGACAGGTAAATCTTGTCTGTTATATTTTTAACTGTGGTGTTTGTGTAATGGCAAATCTGTTTCCCTCTTGCCTTTTACATGTATTAACTGGATTCTTCATAAGGAAGCACTCCCTTTATTTTCTACTTACTTATTTCTTCAATTATTTATATCAGCATGGATTCGTGGATGTTTATTTTAGTCTATGTGTTAGAATCCAATACTATCACAATTTATTTTGTTCCTCAAACTGTTCCAGCTTTGGTCATTAGGAACTTCAGGCAAGCTCCTAAATTCCCTTGACATGGTTCCATTGTCCCCCAATCCCCTGCACTTTCTTTCTGGCAACACAAGATATTCCAGGCTCATCTTGTCACTCCCCTGTGGCATCTCTAGAATCGACCACATCTCCTAGGAGCCCTGGTTCCTTTTACAGGAGAATGGTGTTTAGAGACCAAGATCTGGGTAGCAGATGTGCTCGCTGTTACCGGTGTCATCACTTCTAGATCCACTCAAGACAGAGCTAGGAAACATAGGTATGTGTACTAACCACACATAAACACACACATACATCTATATTTCTGTATTTGTCTATATATAGTTTTATTTATTATTTGTTTAGAGACAGGGTCTTGCTTTGTTGCCCAGGCTGGAGTGCAGTGGTGCAATCACAGCTCTCTGCAGCCTTGAACTCCTGGGCTCAATCTATCCTCTCACCTCAGCCTCCCAAGTACAGGAGCACACCATCACACTTGGCTAATTTTTGTAATTTTTGTAGAGATGGGGTTTTGCCACATTGCCCAGGCTGATCTCTAACTCCTGGGCTCAAGCAATTCACCCACCTTGGCCTCCTGAAGTGCTGGAATTACAAGTGTGAGCCATCACAGCCTAACATTTCTAAATCATGAGTTTATACTGACACCTCCTATTCTAATCCAGCACCACAGGGTTTATTCTAGGCCCCTCTCTATTATTTGTAACCTCTTTCACTAACAGTAAGAAATCCAGCCCTCATAGTCTACAATCTATTTACTTGTTTGTTCAACTTTAGTATACACAGTTTCAGAATCACTAACCTATGCTCCTGTGAGAAACACTTTTTTTTTTTTTTTGCCCATTGCAACCTCTGCCTCCTGGGTTCAAGCAATTCTCATGTCTCAGCCTCTTGACACAGCTGGGATTACAGGCGTGCGCCACCACGCCCAGCTAATTTTTGTACCTTTAGTAGAGACAGGGTTTCAGCACATTAGCCAGGCTGGTCTCTAACTCCTGACTTCAGGTGATCCGCCCACCCTGGCCTCCCAAAGTGTTGAGATTACAGGTGTGAGCCACCGCACCTGGCCGAGAAACACTTTTAATAACTGTATTACAACTTTTATAATCAAGACATTTTTGCCTTTACTCTTGCCGAATCCACTAAAGATACTGTTTTCCAGTTACATGCTAGTTCTGTTCTTTCCTGCCCCCATCAATATGGTTATGTTACTCACCTGTGGTATGATGGGGTTCATCTGTAATTTTTTGTATTCTGTTTTCTGTTCTCCCTACATCCTAGTTGCTCTTGTTTATTTTGGCAGTATGTGAAGGGTGTGTGAAACATTGCTATGGTTCTAACAGTCACAGTTATAGAAAAAGATATTTCAGGCTGGGTGCGGTAGTTCACTAATCCCAGCATTTTGGGAAGCCAAGGCAGGAAGATCACTTGAGGTCAGGGGTTTGAGACCAGCCAGGCCAACATGGAGAAATCTCCATCTCTAATAAAAGTACAAAAATTAGCCAGGGTTGGTGGTGCACATCTGTAGTCCCAGCTACTCAAGAGGCTGAGGCATGCGAATCACTTGAGCCTGGGAGGCGGAGGTTGCAGTGAGCCAAGATCACACCACCGCACTCTAGACTGGGCAACAGAGCGAGACCCTGTCTTGAAACAATAAAAAGGTATTTCAGAGAAGTGTCATTCCCTTCTCTTCCCTGTAGCCCAGTCCCATTTTTCCCTTCTTTCCAGTCTTTTCCCACCAATGTATTTTGTCTCTGGGTGTCCTTCCTGTATTTCCTTTGCATTTGTGTATTTTCTTCTATCTTTTCTTTTTTTTTTTAATTTACTTTTTGAGAAAGTTTCATTGTTGTTGCCCAGGCTGGAGTGCAATGGTGCAGTCTCAGCTCACTGCAACCTCCACCTCCTGGGTTCAAGTGATTTTCTTGCCTCAACCTCCCAAATAGCTGGGATTACAGGTGCCCACCATGCCCTGCTGATTTTTTGTATTTTTAGTAGAGATGGGGTTTTGCCCTGTTGGTCAGGCTGGTCTCGAACTCCTGACTTCAGGTGATCTGCCTGCCTCCCAAAGTGCTGGGATTACAGGCGTGAGCCTCCACACCCAGCCTCTCTTCTTTCTGACAGGAAGGGTAGCATATTATAGATACTCATTTCCTTTTTTCACATAATTTTATATCCTAGAAATTATTTCATATCTATTCAGAGAGATCTTCCTCATTCTTCTATACAGCTGCATAGTAGTCCATCATGTGAATGGAAAACAGTTTATTTAACCACTCTCTTGTGTATGCATCTTTAGATTGTTTGCAATATTTTGTAATGATTAACAATCTCTGAGGACACCCTGTGTTCCACAGAGCCAAGTCTGATAAATAACAGTCTTGGAGAAAAAAAATATATATACAGAAATTCAAGAGAGCTTCTGTGGAGAGGGGTAAATACCAATACCCATTCTGGATTCCATGAGATAGGCTTTCCCTTAGCTTCTGTTTAATGATAGCTTTTGCCAAGTTCACCGTCTTACGTAAACTAGAGAAACATGAAATTCACTCCAGCCTTAGGGAAGCTGAGGGGATGGGATTACTAGAAAAAGGAAGTGTGAGCCAGGAGCTAAAACCACTGGTCTAGGAAGCACTTCAGTGAGTAATCTTGGCCAAGCCCAGAGCAGCCAGGGATGTATTATTGCTATTCCATTCTAAACAATGGATGACTGACATTTGTAAGAGCTTGTCATTATTTTAATAACTAACTCTTCAGGGTGGGGAAGCCAAGGAGATGGGTGTTCCTCCTTCCACACACATGTGAACATTTGAGGAAGCTCCCCACACCAGGGCTCCAGGAAAACAGAAGTGATTCAGATTCCATAGCACCCTGTGGGTAGACAGATTTCAAGACCGCCTTTTACCTGCTCTGAGGTTTAAATGGCACCACCGTCCCCCAGGTCTAATGGTGCAAGTCTGCAGGAAGATTGTTCTGAATGATACATTCCCCAGGCAGGGGGACACGTCTCATCTAGGTGAAGGGCTCCTACAGAAATGAAAGGGGCAGAAAGAGCAAGTGAAAGACAAAAACAAGCTGGGTAACATGTTTCCAGAGGTCCACATTCACTCATTTGTAAATTCAGTCACTCATGTCATCGAAACAAGGACGAGGTGGTTTCGGTCCTCACAGGGTTAGGCCTAACAAGGGACATTATGGTATGGAATGGGGATGGTGAGGGTGAGGGTGGGGTGATGTGGGAGTAGAGGGGAGAGGGAGGTGAGGCCCAGGGGACCCTGCAGTGCTGATGCCAGGTCATGTGACTCAGTCTGTGGGTATGCACTGCCCTCTTGCCTTTCCCCCACCTCCCAGGGCCTCTAGCAAAGCCCTGTAGGAACCTGCCAGCTTATCCTAGTTAAGCCTTGGAAAGGGACATTGTTAGCATCTGGATTAAAGTATGAATGGGGAGCAGTGGGCTCTGATGCCAATCGTGGCCAGAGTAGGAACTCCAGCCTCCTCCTGGACAGTCAGGTCCCACACGAAGGAAGCCAGGAGCCAGGAGGTAGAACCAGAAGAGAAAGGTGGAAAGATCCTGGGACCCCGATGGCCACCAAGCCACCACAAAGCCCTGGACCACCCCCCCCCTACACAGTTCCTTTATGTAAAAGAGAAATAGATTTCTATCTAGTTTCAAAAAAAAAAAAAAAAAAAAAAAAACAGATACATAAGATATTTTTTTAATATTTATAATCATATATTTTACATGTACAATCAAAAAGCTTAAAACTGGAATAAATGCTAACTGAAAGAAAACGTATATGATGTGCAACATTTTTAAAAAGTCAACGAGGCAGAGCAGCTGAGCAGCTCCGGGGTGTACTGACTTCACGTCCCCATGGAACTCCAGTCTCACAGCAGGGATGAGGTGGGGGACACATCTGGAACATCACTGCCCTGGGTGTCCCCTCTGGGCACCTGGTCCACAGTAGTTATCTATGACTTCTCTGTGACCCCTGCCCCAATCAGCTCTGCCTGCCACAGGGGACAGCAGTCCTAGCTGTTTCAGGTGTGGTCTCTAGGCTGGGAGGTTTTTGTGACCTGCCCTGGCCACTGCTTATGCACCCAGCCTCCTCTCCAAGGTGGAGGGCAGGGAGGACAGCAGGCTCTTCTTGGACCCTTACATTCCATGTTAGGAAACATGGGGTTTGAAAAATAAAAACTTGTTACTCTACTGGCAAAAGGATGCTGGCAGGAACTAAAACCACTGGCCTAGGAAGCACTTCAAAATCAACAACAGGGCTTAGGTGAAGGAAGGAGTTGCTTTGTATCACGGAGCAAGAGAAAAATCACGGGTGCATGTTCTCAGAACGTCTTGAAATTATGCCTTGGGCAAAAAAAGAGACAGGGACAGAAAGAGAAATCACATTTCCCCCAAAATGGATGCTCAAATTGAGCCAAAGGAAAATATTGGACTGTTCATTTACAAATTCTCAAAGAGAGACCCCACACGTCAAGATTCCCAGTAGCAAAGGTTCCGCCTTCCCCAGTTTTCTAGCTACATGTGTCGAGCAGCCTGTGGGCTACAGGTGCTGCTGGACACAGCTCCGACCTGGCTGCTGCCTCTCATCCTGCCAGTGGCACAAGAATTGGTCTAAACAGGAAGGACCAGGAGTTGGAGGCCTTGACCTCTTAACTCTCTGGGACTGGCCCAGCAGGGGCACTTGGCACCTCTGTAGAGTCACAGCATCGCATGCACAGGTGCCCACACTCACAGGGGTCAGGGAGTGGCCTTGCTACCTCTATTTACAGCTACTCTGAGAGGCTGTGGCCTGTTTCTCCAGAGTCGAGCCTTAATCCTTCCCGGGGTTTGCAGCCAGTCTTCTTGAAACTGTCTCTGCCCACCTCAAAGAGTCAGGACCAGCAAAGCTTCCAGAGCCTTTACTTGCAAATACCAACTTTCCAGACTGTCCCCAAAGGGAATCTTCTTTCTTTTTCTTGTTTTCTGTTTGATCCAAGGATCAGCTGTGCCTTCAATGCAGTTCCAGCTGAGTGAAGCTAAGGTATTTTCTGAACCAACAAAGATGATTTCAGGCTCTATGGCTCGAGGCATTCCTCTGGATGAAACAACATTTCAAAAAGACTTAAGTCCACTTGTGTCTCTCCCTTGGGCCACAGACTGTCAGTAACTCCAAGAGCAAAGCTCCTTATACAAGGACACAAGACAGGAAGGGAGCCTCGGAAGCCAGGGCTAGCTACCCCTTGCCCCAGCTTGGCTCTGGGCCACCCAGCCACAAACCAAAAGTGACTTCCCTGACATGGAGACGACAGCAGTTCAAGCAGGACCTTCACCACCAAGGAGACCCAGCACCATTCAGGAGCCAGCACGTGAATCTAATAAGGTCCTCAAAGTCCATATGAAGACATGGCAGACAGGGCTGCTGCAGCCTCAGCAGGGAAACCACTGAACACCGGGCTCCAGCCAAATGCAGCACAATTTTGTGGAAGTCTAGAAATGCTGACTGTCCTTGGGAAGTGCTCAATATTGAGAAAATGATACCAGCTCCACACACTGCTAGCTCTCCCCGGAAACATAAGAGAGCCTCCACTGGAAGAGGCAGGGTGATAAGGAACAGCTCTCAGGAGGGAGCACAGGGCGAGGGAAAGTTGTAGAGTTGGCTGAAAGTCTGAATGGCGCCGGCTTCACTGCACACTGGCTATGTGATCCCTGGGGAGCCCCTCAACCTTTCTGAGCTAGGATATAAGACTCCTACCTCGGCCTCCTGCTGAAGGTTGAGACAACTGGTACACAGCTTAAGCGTGAGGTCAGGTACACAACAGGTGCTCTCCCTAAAGGCTTCACGAGTGACTCAGCAGTGCAAAGCCACTGGGAGAGGGGGCGAATGTGAGGCTGCAGGCTCGGCAAACCCATTGGTCCCATTTGTCATTTACCCACAAGGGCCAGAGGCTCATGACAAGACACTTGCAAAGGAGACAAGACCATTAGGAAAATCAAGCTGGCCAGACACAAAGCCCTCCTGGGAGCAAGTTTTTCCAGATCGCTCCTAATAGCTAACTTGGCAGCTGCGGGCATTTTTCGGACATGATCCATAGACCTTTCACATCCTATGGGCCATGCTTCCGATTCTCCGGAGTTAATATTCGATCCCGATTTTGTTCAAAGAGTTCTAACATCTTCTCCATGTGGTGGTCAGCCTCAATCACCTGGAAATTAGACACAGGGGTCACGGGGCTACACTAACCTCAGCAGCATCCTCCCTTCACAGCTAGAGAAGGAGAGATGGAAGCAGGCAGTAGGAGGCAGGGAGGGGCAGAGAAGGCTGCAGGCAGATAAAAAAGGAAGGTTAGGGCCAAATAGCTCTCAGCTCTAGAGCAATCTACATTTCCAATGAGGTTTTCACTTAAGAATGTACTACAAGGGCCAGATATGGTGGCTCATGTCTATTATCCAAGCATTTTGGGAGGCTGAGACCTGAAGATTATATGATCCGAGGAGTTTGAGACCAGCCTAGGCAACATAGTGAGACCCTGTAAGTTCATGAATGATTTTTTTTCCCCTCATCACTTTCTATCCTCCTTTTGTTATATAATAAGGGAGAAAAATAAACTGTACTTATTTAAAAATCTACTACAGTAGGCCAGGTGCAGTGGCTCATACCAGTAATCCCAGCACTTTGGGAGGCCAAGGCAGGCAGATCACTTGAAGCCATGAGTTTGAGACCAGCCTTGCCAACATGACTAAACCTCGTCTCTACGAAAAACATAAAAAATTAGCCAGGCATGGTGGTGTGCACCTGCAGTCCCTGCTACTCAGGAGGCTGAGGCAAGAGAATCACTTGAGCCCAGGGGGGAGAGGTTGCAGTGAACCGCGATCATGCCACTGCACTCCAGCCTGGGCAACAGAGCGAGACTCTGTCTCAAAAACAAACAAACAAAAAACTACTACAGTAATACCTCACTTTGTGGCAACCTCACTGCCTGCAAGAGCTGTAAGCAGAAGTATATGAGCCCAAACAATGTTCCTGTGGCCACGCACCAAAGCTCATGCACAGCCCTGCCTCGTAGCCCATCCCATGTTGCATATGTAACCACCTTAGGTTCCTCCCAATCAAGGCTTGGAGGGACCCCAGACTCCACATTTCTTGGGAGCATCTGGGTCACTGTACGTATGTCTGAGTAAAGAAATCTGAAAAAAAAAAAAAAATCTGGAAACAGCAAACTGGAAAACAAGGATATAGGGAAGTGAGGAAATTCTGACAGACAGACACATCAGTGTCAGTCAGAGATGACACGTGGCAGCAAGAGAAAGGCGGGTTACTGTAAAAAGCAAACACAGGAACGCAGAGACATTAGTGGGCAAGGCAGACAGTTCCACACACCGCAGCACTTCCTAAGGGCATCACTGTGTGACAGCCCAGACCAGACACTCACATTCCTTCTGATGACTGCATCACCAAACAAAGGTGAAATGAGGCTCTGTGACATCCACAGAAGAAGGAAAGTCACATCAAAGGAACCACCATTCCAAATGGTGAAAACTGAAACCCAGGTCTAGAGTCTTGGTTGAAGATGCTGGATCAGTGACAACTACCAGGTGTGATGGCACTGGCACAGATCGCCTTCCCTCAGGTCTGGCCAACTCACTCTGAGACTCAGCCCAGAAATAGGAACTGGGAGAGAGAGGACCAGCCTTCTCACCTTCCTCCTTTGAAGGTGTCAAACTCTAGAGGACTGTGCCCTCCCCCAACTGCAAGGTGGCGGACATTCCTCATGTCACTCCTCTTTCTAGAACAGTCTCATACCCTGTAAGGGAGACTTACCAGAACAGGGGCTGCCACGGGGAAAAGGCTGCCTTTGATGAGCCACTCCTCATGGAGATGGTGAATTGCTTCCAGGTATTCCTGACAGGGAAACACACAAGCAGTCTGGCCGGAGTGGGCGCAGCAGACCCAGCCCACCAAGGGTCTCAAGCAGAGAGAGAGGGCAGTTTTCAATGACCATGGGCAGTGACTCGGAAAAAGGAACCCTGCAAGGGCAAACCTGGCTCACGTGGACAGCAGCAGCCACAGCTGCACACTCGGCAGCCAGGATGAGCAGAACAATAGCAGAAGTGTCACCAGTCACCCTGCTTTGCTCCACTGGGGGTTCATGGGCACAAACACTGGCCCTTTCCCTGGCCTGAATCAAAGCCAAGGCAAAAGGCAGGACCCACACCTGGCTTCTCCCATTTACCGCCACTTCGGCAGCAACAGAGCCTCAGTTCCTTCAGGCAGGGGTCCAGCCCTGGGCAGCCTCTAAACCTCTCTTTCTTGCCACCAAGAGGATGTGACCCTCACCCTTTGCCCGTCTATCCCCTCAACAACTTGCAACCTGTAGACCCTTGAAACCATAAAGACCACCAACTGCAGAAAGCATGATGCGGCGGAACCCAAGGGAAAAGGGGCACAGCCTCTCCCGAGCCATGGGGCCTGCACGCCAGGCAGAACAGATGCGCGCACTCTCCCAGGCACAGAGCAGGTTGGTTCCTCACACAGATTCCACTCGCCATCCCAGAGGCTCTCGTGTCAACTCTGCAACTGCCTTTTCATCCACTGCCAAGCCCTCCCTTGGCAACAGGAGCTAGATGTGTCCCATGGACCCCGTCAAACCCTTAAGACAACGGCTTGGCACTCCATCCTCCTAGCACTCTTGCCTCAAGGATTTTGAAGGAGCTGCCCAGAGTGAGGCCTGGGCCTTCGTGGCAGGAATTGCATCGTGCTGGCACCAGGGAAAAACAAGGCTGGGCAGGGCTTCTGGAGTTGGATAGGCCTCCCCGGGACAGTCTAGCCCATCCTGGGCTCTGAGCCCCCAACACTCCACTGAACACCTGCCCAGCATCTGCCTCCCTCCAGTGGCAGCTTCTCACATGGGGCATTCAGCTCAATACTAACTGAGCAACTACTAGGCGCCAGGCCCCGAGACACATGCAGAGGACACAGAGGGAATAAGGCCCAATCTTAAAAAGCTTATTCCCTCTGTGGCCTATGCTATCACAGCCCTTAGGACAGCATACTGACGCTATTTGTTTATACCTTTGTACAAAGGTATATTTGTTTATACCTACAAAGGTATAAACAAATAGTGTCAGTTTATACCTACAAAGGTATAAACAAATAGTGTCAGTATGCTGTCCTAAGGGCTATGATCACAGAAAGCCAGGGGGTGGGGGTGGGAGGTTACGATGGAAGGAGGGTCAGGGAAGGCTCCCTGGAGGAGGTCACATCTGAGTTACACTTTAAAGACAAAGGAAATGACTCTGCAGAGGCACATTTGCATAACTCCACAGTGCGTGTGCATGTCTGTGTATGGCCACAACTAGTTCCTTATAGCCAAAGCATAGAAGGAGGGAATGGAAGGAGATAATGCCAGAGAGGCAGCTGGGGCCAGGTCATAAGCCATATTATAAAGTGGGGACTGCATTCTAGCCAGCAGCAAGGCATTGAAGGGTTCTGGGCTGGGAAATTGCACGCGTGGTGTTGAGTATTGGATATATCAGCCATGCGGCAGCCTGGAGGCCGGATTTTGGAGGGAGATGTGAGGAGGGAAGGACAAGATGAGAAGCACAGCCCAGGTCTGTACTGGAAAGTCCCCATGAGAGTCAATGTGGCCCAAGCAGAGTTGAGAAAAGCATGGCATCCCTCCACTGTGCAAATGCTACTGAGCATAAACACTGTCTGCACGCCTGGCCACTGCACTAAGCACTAGCGATGCAGCAGTGTGCGAGAGGGCTTGGTCCTGCCCTCTTGGAACTCATATTCTTTCTAGGGAGGACCCAGAGAGCACAAGTCCAGGCAATCTTCAGGAGGCAGAACAGACAAGCCTGGGTGCTGCCAAGATGGGGAGGGGGCGGTAGAGAGAGGAATGCCTCCAAGCAGGAGGGTTGCCAAATCGTGAGTCACAGACCACAGGAAGCCAAGCAGATCTGGACATCCACGTGGGTCTCCAGCCAAACAGTAAGTTACAGTTCAGCCTCTGATACACTTGGTTCCTGTTTCTCTCTCTGCAGACAACGGCACAATGATCTCATGGGAGTGGGGACAGGAGAGGAAGCCAGGCTTGGACAGGGTGGTTTCCCAGTTCATCTTTAACCAAGTTGAAGAGGCCTCTTACCAGTGGAATGACCTTCTCCTCTTCCCTGCATCTCCTCTTTAACCTCTGGTAACAAGTCTCAGGATTGGTCCGAAGGTAAACTGAGGTTAAAAGGATACGTGGCTCTCAGGACTCTACTCACAGCTTGGAAGCAAAGGCCAAGGCCAGGAAAGGCAGACACGTGGGCAAGGGTGGGAGGAAGGTCTGCACAACTCGAGCAGGAGGCAGGGAGGGCCAGCTCTCAGCTTGACCACTGACCCTAGGCCCCGACTGTCATTCTCTTTCTGTGTCACCAGTCCCGTGGCATCATTCTGAGGCTGAATGGGATTCTGTTTATAGACAGAGCTCAGCACAGGCCTCACACCTGGGAGGTCTCAATGAATATCCAGGCTCTGTCTTTCCCACTCCTTTACAAACTAGAAAATCCCATCAGATCACAGTGGATTTGGGTCTGAAAGTAGCTGAGCCAGGGAGGGAAGTTTAAAGAACACAGGCCAGGGTTCTTCCCCATGAAAGACCAGAAGCCCTGAATCCTGTCTGCCCTCAGGGAGAAGGCTGAACTCTCGTGGGGAAGGAATCTCCGAGGGCAAGTGCCTCACCCACTGCCCCCAAGGGTTGGGGCCCAGCCAAGCACATCCTCAAGGGGCCCAGGAGAGAGACCAGAGAGGGAGGTGGGAGGGGTGCATCTTACCTATCAAATCAATGGATATGTCCATGTTCCTCAAGATCCAGTCAAACCATTCCGACAGAACTATATAGTCCACTTCTGGCATCTTCCCGCTGCAATGCGAGTTGTGAGGGCTTATTCACCTAAGAGTGGCTCTTATTCACCAAAGGTGGCTCTCACTGAAAGGGAGCCACCAAGGGTGCCAGGGCACAGTGTGATCCAGGCAATATTGTACATGCAGTGACAAGGACCCTAAGCATTCCCAACCTCCTGCTGCCTGTACACAGCTGATGGCACAATGCTGCAAGGGCCACAGCATGGAGTGATGGGAGAATTCACCTGGGATTGGAACTCTAAGTGGAGAAAAGGACTTTAAAGCTCATCACCTGAGAACAGAGACAGCGCTCAGGTTGGGCAATGAATCAGCAAACCAATTTCACTACTAGAAACGTATTTTGTGGGCCAGGGTGGTGGCCCATGCCTGTAGTCCCAGCACTTTAGGAGGGTGAGATGGGCGGATCACTTGAGGTCAGAAGTTCAAGACCTGCCTGGGCAACATGGAGAGATCCCATGTCTACAAAAAAAGTTAGCTAGGTGTGGTGGCACACAACTATAGTCCCAGCTACTTGGGAGGCTGAGGCAGGAGGACCACTTGAGCCCAGGGGTTCAAGGCTGTAGTGGGTCATGACCATGCCACTGCACTCCAGCCTGGGCAACAGACTGGGACCCCTGGCTTAAACAAAACAAAAAAACTATTTTATGAAAATAATCATAGATGCTTACTGTGGCACTGTTTAAAACAATAAAAAACTAAGTCTTGGTAAATCTATATAACAGAAAATTCATGCAGTAACTGAAGGATGATATTGCAAAATAATATTTAATGGCATAGAAAATTTCAAATCTAACGCTCAATGAAAGCAACAGGATCTAAAGCCGTATATACCCCAACCACATTTCCAAAAGTATTTACCAATGGGTCTTGAAAAGGCGGGAAAGAAAGGCATCAAAACATACAGTGCTTTTCTCTGAGCTGCAGGACTATGTGAGACTTTTCTTTTTTTCTTTATATCTTTTTGTACTTTCCAAATTTTAACTACACATTACTTCTCAAATCAGCAATGGGGGTTGGGAAGCATTACTACATATTTTATTTTTTAGACATAGTCTCACTCTGTCACCCAGGCTGGAGTGCAGTGGCACTATCTCAGCTCACTGCAACCTCCACCTCCCAGGTTCAAGCAATTCTACTGCCTCAGCCTCCCAAGTAGCTGGGACTACAGGTGTGTGCCACCATGCCCAGCTAAATTTTCATATTTTTAGTAGAGACGGGGTTTCACCATGTCAGCCAGGCTGGTCTCGAACTCCTGACCTCAAATGATCCATCTGCCTCAGCCCCCCAAAGTGCTGGGATTACAGGCATGAGCCACTGCACCCAGCCTATTACGTATTTTAAATGTTAACTTTAAAAGAAAGAAAAGAAGGCAAGAAAGTGGGAAGGAAGGAAGAACCAGGGTGAAGATGAGATCTGGCATCTATTCCAGGTATTCCTGTGGGTTTCCTGTGCCCTGAGAGGAAATCAACAGAAAAGAGACAACAGGAATGGTCACAGCTGGAGGGCACATGACCCTCACAGGCATAGCAGAGGAATTCTCTCTTTTAACACCCTCCATTTTACTAGTGGCGCCATGTGGGATCGGCTCAGAGCTGGATTTGGCAAGACTGGCCATGGGAGAGTGGCCATACCTGAGCCATGTGCAGTGGGAAGCTCCCGGTGGGGAGGGGGTGGGGAGAGGGTAGGGAGGGGGTGGGGAGGGGTGACTCCAGTCTCACGAGTGGATGAGGATGGAAGGAGTAAGAGGCTGGAAAAGTGAGGCAGGCACTCTGGGAGACCAAGAGCACAAGCAGCCTTGTCTTGGGGCCCTAACAGCGAGGCATGGCACCAACTGGAGAGGGACATTCTCCCCTAGTCCTGGAGACCACCACCATGTCCTCAGCAGAAAAGAGCATTTGACACAGGAGTGGGAGAGTGGATGGAGAACAGCAGGCGGGCCTGAGCAGACTGCAGCACAGAGACCAGGGCAGACCAATCTGTGGGACTGCCAGGACTCCCAGAAAATCTGGGGAAGCTGCGTCGGGAAGGGGAGGCGGCAGGAGTGGGAAGAAAATCCTACAGCATTGCAGAGAAGACTCCCAGCCATCAAAACTCAGGTACCAAAAGTTCAGGTGATGACTTTGGGCCCACAGGCTGCCTCCCTGCCTCCTTTCCTCTTACCTCCTTAAAAGTAGCCCATTCTTTATTCAGGGCCCATCCACAGACCCAAGGGCTTCAGGGAAACCTGATCCCACCCCAAGCTTTCAAGCTTTAGGGTGAGCACAATCGGTCTAAGAGAAATCATCTCCCCTGGTTCCAGAGATGGGTTCGGGAAGCCAAGATAAGTCAATCAGTGCAGGGTCTCCCCCAGCCAGGGGCCAGATTTGGATTGGGCAGGCGTGAGGGAGGCTTGCAGGGACTTACAGAAAAGATACTTCTGCACACTTAGGGAAAAGCCACTAGCAAGATATCTACCCTTACTCCAACCAGTGAGTGAGAAGCCCAGTGTGCCGCAACTACATTGTCACCCTGAGAGAATCACACTGAGGACATGAACAGGACACAGAGTAGGAAAATGTAGAGAAACTGGGCCAAAGGCACCCAATTCAGCCATCCGTTGGGAGTTGATGACAACTCATTGTTCAGGCTACCCTGAGTCGGGTTTCAGGTAGTTCAGCTCCGAATATTTGATGTTTAAGAAACCAAACCACTCTCTCTCGACTTATTTTCCTTTTCTGGAAAAAGAAGACTGAGAACAAAATTGGCTCTAAGTAAATGAGGATTTGCAATGAGGAAGGTGCTGATTAGCTTCTCCCCTACTCCAGCAAACTCGTGGCTTGAGGGCACAGAAGCAGCAGCACCGAGGGGGTGGGCCAGTTAGCAGCAATGTGAGGAGAAGCTAAACTGCCCATGGGACATTCTCCCAAGACTCCAAGGCCAGACTAGACACTGGAGGACCTCTCATGCATCTGCACAGCTCGAGGGAGATTCTGTCCAATCCCAGAGCTAGGAGGGTGCCCATGGATAGGAACATGGAACTGAACCACAGTTCAGAACACACGAAGCATGGTGTTCACTAAAACCAAACCGACCACCACCACAAAACAGGCACAGTACATGGAGGTCCGCACATGGAGACATGGGGACGGGTTACACCCATGGGGGTCTCTCGGGCTGAGAGACTCTGGTGGCTCTGCCCCCATGACTCCCCTGGGAATCAGGTCCAGGTGGTCACAGGGGCCTCCCATTCCCACCCCCAGCACAGCTGAACAAAAGGCTTTCCCCACAGGGTTGGTGCAGACTGAGGGGCAGCCTCTCCCTTCCCTATGCTCTCGGAAGGGGTCCTTGGTGGGGTGGCCTCCCATGGGCAGGGCCACTAGGGCAGACCTATGGAAAACCTTTCCATGACTGGAACCATGTGCCGGAAGGGTCTGGGGGATCCTGGAGGACTGACTGACCAGTTGCTGAGCTGAGTGAGGAAACAGAAGTCTAATTTCCATTACTCTCAGTGATGTGGGGCACAGTGGGCACTGTTCTAACCGTATTTCCTCCTAGAAACTCTGCCTGGCTCCTCCTGTGTCTGCCTCAAGCATGGGGCTCCCCATCTTGTGAAGGGCTCCCCATCATGGCACTTTGGGAAGCTTTTTCCCAGAATATCCAGGGAGTGACAAAACACAAGCTCCCAGGCAGGAGCTCACACCCCACATGCCACCATGTGGTTCCCAGTACCTGGCTAAACTCCCTGCAGGTGGGAACGAAGACATCTTATTCTACGTATGGGCAAAGGACTCAGCCAAACTTGGTTCTATGCTACATTTTGCATAAGCAGTAGCAAGGACAATAATCTGCATTTAAAAACATCTACTTTGGCCAAGCACTGTGGCTCACGCCTATAATCCCAGAACTTTGGAAGGCTGAGGCGGGCAGATCACTTGAGATCAGGAGTTTGAGACCATCCTGGCCAACATGGTGAAACCCCTCCTCTACTAACAATACAAAAATTAGCTAGTGTGGTGGTGGGCACCTATAATCCAGCTACTCAGAGGCTGAGGCAGGAGAATCACTTGAACCTGGGGGTGGAGGATGCAGTGAGCTGAGATTGATCGCACCACTGCATTCCTGCCTGATCAACAGCACAAGACTCTGTCTCAAAAACAAACAAACAAACAAACAAAGCCCACATCTACTTTCTCAGTAATACTTCGTCGTGGATGACCCCTGCATCGAGGGAAGCTGGAGCTGTCCGGAGAGTGGCCAAGCTCTATTCTTCCTTCCCTTCATCCCTTCTGTGGCTCTGGCTAAAAATACTTTTCACTTTGTCCTGTGGCTGCCCGACTCCTGGCCTAGGAATAAACCCAGAAACTTTAAAAACAAAGATAAGGCAGGGCGCAGTGGCTCACACCTGTAATCCCAGCACTTTGGGAGGCCGAGGTGGGTGGATTACAAGGTCAAGAGATCGAGCCCATCCTGGTCAACATGGTGAAACCCCGTCTCTACTAAAAATAGAAAAATTAGCCGGGCATGGTGGCACATGTCTGTAGTCCTAGCTACTCGGGAGGCTGAGGCAGGAGAATCGCTTGAGCCCAGGAGGCGGAGGTTGTGGTGAGCTGAGATGGCGCCACTGCACTCCAGCCTGGGTAACAAGAGAAAAACTCCGTCTCAAAAAATATATATATATATAAGAANCAAGACAGCCCCTGCCAACCCAAATACGAAGCAACAAATGTGAAATTAACAAACCACAGGCTAGGTACAGGAAACAGGAAATCCGGCACTGTGCAGAACTTTTCACCACAGCCCCAAAGACAACCCTCAGGCCAGGGCCCTTGCTCTTATGACCCCCAAAAGTCCAATGAAGCCCCAAGGAAGCCCCAGCATCATAACTCTGGGGGAAAGGGTCTAGGTGTTAGGATGGAGGGCTCCCTGTGGACCACCTGGCTACCAGCTTTTTTTATTTTTGAGACAAAGTCCCACTTGTGGGACTTTTATTTTTGAGACAAAGTGTCACTTGTCACTTGGGCTGGAGTACAGTGGTATGATCATGGCTCACTGCAGCCTTGAACTCCTGGGCTCAAGCAGTTCTCCTGTCTCAGCCTCCTGAGTAGCTGGGACTATAGGTGTGCACCACTCAGGCCCAGCTAATTTTTACATTATTTTGTAGAGATGGGGGGGTCTTCCTTTGTTGCCCAGGCTGGTCTCAAACTCCTGGCTTCAAGTGATCCTTCTCCTTCTGCCTCTCAAAGTGCTGGGATTACAAGCATAAGCCACTATGCCCAGCTCTGCCACCTTCTTCTGAGGCCCTTACTCCTCAAAGTGTGATTCTGGACCAGTAGGAATGTGGTCTCACCTGGGCATCTGCTAGAATAGTGGCCTCTCAAGCCCCACCTGAGTGCTGCTGAAGCGGAACCTGCTCATAAACAAGATGCAGAGGGGGTTGTGGGAGAAGCCTAGAGTAAGGCCTGCCTGGAAAGAGGCAGAGTCCCCCCACCCCGGGGCTAGTACCTCTGGATTCTCAGCTTTGGGGGCCCCAGTGGGCCCTGAAGCCTTTGGCCTTGATGAGAGAAATCTAGATGCCTCCTGCCACTTCCTCATTCACTGCTTGCCCCCATACAGCAGGGTGCAGAACAGCCTTCCCTCCTGTGGTTAGTTCCTGCCCAATCAGGAAGGAGCGCTGGCTTTGTAATCCTTTCTCAGTTATTTATCTGGCCAATAAGGTCAACAACCAGACAATAAGTTCAGCTCCTGTCCATGGGTCCCTGCCCTGTCTCTTAACCTGAGAGCAGATGCCCCAGTTTCCACATAAGCAGGTGCAGTTCACAAGTGAATCACTTGCCCTGGGAAGGTGTTTTCAATGCCCCTATGGCTCAGTTCTCTGCCTCCTGGATGGGCTTAGGGACTCTGGGGTATGTGGCTGAGGGAGTGGGAACTCCAGGCCATATGCTAAGCATGGTGTTTCATACATACAGCCACTGTCCTCAATGATAAGTATGTAAATTATTATTTTTAGATATAAACTTAAGAACATATTGTGGAGGAAAATGCAAAATTCAAACAAATTCTAGGTTAAAAGAGGAGACTCCAAGAAACTTCTGGGTTATTGGCAGGTGGCTGCTTTGGACCACAGGGGCTGGGAGGATGAGGTAGCAGAGCTGCAGGAGGCTTTCCTCTGGAAAGCCTTGCCTTTGGAGGACTCCAGTGAAAGTGTCCGAGGAACACCGCCTTTTCTCATCTCCCTGGAGACCATGGTGGGTGACCTAGCCCTCCAGGCAACCACAGTGCTCCCAGCAGCCTCTGGAGTACCCACGGCCACATGCCCACTGACAGCCTTTGGCTTCGAAAGATCCCAGTGACGGATCTCAAGGACCCAACAAGGTCTTCCTGGGAATCTGAGCCATATGAACTTAAAATAATTAGATCCCAAGAACAGAAACAAGGATACTGTAAGGTTCTTCTGTGGTTCATTGTTCCACAGAAATCCTGACCACAGAGGCCATGCATTCCGGGAGGGCGGGGGGAAACATAAATATAAAGTCATCAGGGCAGGAAATGAGCTAAAAAATTAAAAGCTCTTTTCTCTTCCTGAACCACCCACAAAACAGCTCCAGGTGAGGCCTATGTCATCTGTACCACTGCCACAACCATAGACATACAGAACTGACACATCAGGATGACGCAGAACCAAGGGTGTGAGTTACCAAAGCCCATGGCCATCAGCAGGAACTGTGACCTGGGCCAAGCAAAGACACACACAAACGGCTCCTGGGGAAATCTACCTGGCGCTGGGTGGCCTACAGGTTTGGGGGTGGAATTAGGAAACTGAAAAAATTCATAAAGACCAAGGTGGGCAAGGACCCACAAAAGGGTCCTAAGACTTGAAGGAGACAGCAGGTCCAAAGGTGCTTCAGAGATGGATAAGAAGAATCAGAGGTGAGAGATGGGCTCAGAGAAATGTAGCAACTTGGTCTTGCTCACAAACAGAGCAAACTTCAGAGCCAGGATAGAACCCTGGTCTGTCAAATGCCACACTCTGCCCTCTCCCCTTAACCTCTGGTCATTCCATTCCAGAATTACTCCCTTCAAAAAGAGCCCTCAGGCTGAGCACGGCTATAATCAGGCTCATGCCTGTAATCCCAATACTTCGGGAAACTGAGGCAGGAGGATCACTTGAGCCCAGGAGTTTGAGACCAGTGTGGGCAACACAGGGAGACCCTGTCACTACAAAAAATAGAAATAAATTAGCCAGAAATGATGGCATGTGCCATAGTCCCAGCTATACAGGAGGTTGAGGTGGGAGGATCTCTTGAGCCTGGGACGTTGAGGCTACAGTGAGCCATGATCATGGCACTACACTCCAGCCTGGGTGACAGAGCACAAGCCCATCTCAAAAAAAAAAAAAGCAACAAGAGTCACTGGCCCCACACAGAACAGGCCAAGCTGGATGTGATGAGAAGATAGGCACAGCGCTGCTCTGTGAGGTTCACAGGTAATTTCACCCTACTGCCAACATCTGTTCCTTGGGCTACAGTTTTTTTTTTCTTTTGAGATGGAGTCTCCCACTGTCACCCAGGCTTGAGTGCAGTGGCACAATCTCAACTCACTGCAACCTCCGCCTCGGGCTACAGTTCTCATCAGAGCAGTATACAAACATCACAGAGGCTCCCTTCTGCTCTCGCTCTCCTCTCTTCTGTCTTGCCTGTCCTTCCTCTGGATGAGGCTCTAAGGAGCAGGAGCTGAAGAGGGAAGAGGGCTGGATAAACCTAGCAGTGGACACTTGGAAACCCAGGTTGTAGGATGAAGACAGGGTTCTAAGTTCAGGAATGCCACCTGCTAAGAGGGCAAGCTGCAGCCTACAAGAAGTCTGAGGTCAGGGGGCAAAGCCACCAAGGACTCACCTTGGCTGCCAGCCACTGAGCCCACAGCATTGCTCTGATGCTCTAAGTGGATTTGGAGCAGAGGCTCTCATTTTGGGGGGTGACACAGGCTCAAAGGGATGATCCATGGCAGCTAAGAGCTCCTACAAGAAGCCTTTTTAGTGGCCCCTCAAATGAAACGTGCAAAACAGTGGAGGGTCAGAGCCTGAGGAACAAGTTGAGCTGGAGATCAAAGCACAGCCACAGGTACCCTTATCCAACAGTAGCTAATGAGAATCAACCAGGAGCCCGCTCTGTGCTGGGTCCACACTAGGCAAGGACACCAAACTCAGTGCCCGCCCTTAGGAGCTTACAGTCCAGTGGGCAGAGGCAGTGGGGATCAGTGCAATAAACAATTAGACATATACTAAATTGAACCACGTAAAACTACCATTTTTGTAGGTCATCATTGGTTAAATAATTTCATATAATTGTCTTAAATACTACAAAGAAAACGAACAGAAAGTAGTCATTAAGAATAACAAGAGGGCCGGGCACAGTGGCTCACACCTGTAATCCCAGCACTTTGGGAGGCTGAGGCAGGAGGATCACTTAAGCCCAGGAGTTTGAGACCAACCTGGGAAACATGATGAAACCCTGTCTGTCTAAAAATACAAAAAAAAATAGCCAGGCATGGTGGTGTGTGTCTGTAATCCCAGTTACTTGGGAGGCTGAAGGCAGGATGGCTTAAGCCTGGGGGAATGGAGATTGTAGTAAGCTGAGATTGTGCCACCGTACTACAGTTTGGGTGATAGAGCCAGACCCTGACTCAAAAACCAAAAACAAAACAAAGACTAACAAGGAGCTTGCCCTATCTAGACAGGGTGGTGGGGGAGAACTGGGAGACAGTAGCATTTAGGAAGACAGCTACAGATAAGAGTGAGAGGAAGGGCCTCCGGCACTGACATCAGAACAGCTCTGTGAGGGAGGGACAGCAGCATCCCAAGCTTACATCAAGGACAGGTGGGGCCTGCAACCCATTTCCCCAAGATCCCTAGAAATCAACAGTCTCTGAGCACAGGGATGGAAGGTCCCATGCCTGAGCCCTTGGCACTGACAGGCCACCAGAAGCCCCCTAACTAGGTATATATAACAGTCTGCTCTCATGAGGGAAGTTTTCAGTGAAAAACACAATAAATGTAATGCACACTGTGGTAGGCTGATTCACTCAACTCTCTACCCTTCCCTATAGCCTTGCACCATGCTGTGTAACTCACTGGACCCTCCCACCTTTCCACCCCGGCTCATGTGACCTGCTCTGACCAATGGAATATTAGCAAGCTTGGAGCAGAGGCCTAAAAATATGTCCTTGCATCTCTGCTGTTGCTTTTGCCCTCTGTCACCATAAGAAGTGGACACCTGGGCTGGTTTGCTGGTCCCAGGAGGGTGACAGGCAAGAGGAAGAACAATGAGCCACTCCTAGTCACCCTTGCTTAGGCCATCCTAGATTGGCTGATCCCCAGACATCTCACTGAGCCCAGCCAAGGTCAGCAGAGTTGCCTGGTGACCACCCTGGCCGACTGGGTAATGAATGCAGATAGCTGTCTGCCATGAGGATTCGTGGCTGTTACACCACGTTGCTATGGCAATGGATAACTAAGAAAACAGTGGGTACTCTGTATCTGTCAATCGAATAACGAGTTTCTATTTCATTTTGAAAAATTCGTGGTTTAATAAATTATCAATTATGCAAACTACAGTACCTTCTATACAGGTTTTCTACAAAAATGTATCTTGCGCTGTGAATCGACCTCTCCATCAACCGTACAGATGACATCTAAAGGAAAACAAAAAAGAATCACTAACTCAGGGGAAGAGGAGACAGCCAGGGGGCCTTGAAAAATGTCTGTTACTCCCACTGCCTGTGGATTTTGCTGAATATGAGAATCAAGGGGGCAGAGAGAGTGAGGCAGGAGGACCTCCTCACTCCCCTGCCAGGTGGAGAAGCCATATCTGCCACCAGGCTCAGGCTGTGTTCTCCTTCCACCCTGACCTGCCCCACACCCCAAAGCTGCATGCATGGCCCAGCAATGCCGAGGCTGAGGGCTCAGCAGCAGCCATCTCTTTGATGGGAGAGATGAGGCTCAACTGGAACACGGCCAAGCACTGGAAAAACTGTCCAATGCTGTCCACTTGAGGCAACATGGAGTGACTACCACAGATCTATTAGGGTGACTTTGCTTAAGCGGAGGGACCGCATGCATGAGGTACAGCCCCACAAAGGTCGGGGTGGGGGTGATGTTCTGGGGGCTTTGCCCATAGAAACTGGGAAGGACGATGCCCGAGAGGGAGGAAGACAGCCTGACAGCGCCCCTCCCTGCCAGGATGTTCACACCCTCCACAGACAATCTTGCCCTTTGTCCAGCATTCTTCCAGCAAGCAAGAGGCACCCACCTTGACCCTTGATACCAGGCAAACACTAATCTCTCTTGGCCATGGCCCACAGCACCCATGGGACCTGGACCAACATATTCAAGGCAGATTCAAAGCCATAACCGAGGCACTTCCTGCCTTTCCCTGCTGTCCTTCTGTTCATCCATTCTCTGTCCATCATCTTTCTTTCCATTCTTTCATCTTCTCTTTCCTTACTTCCTAGCTTGCCATTCATCCCTGTCTCCTTCTGCTCATCTTTCCTGGTCTGTCTGTCTTTCTCTGTCTGCCTCCTGAGGTAGATTTCCTTAAATAGAGGAGCACGCTTTCGTCCCCTCCTATTCAGATATTAGCAAAGACAATTTAGGTTTGCAACTGAGTGTCTGCTCCAGGAAAAGCGAATTAGCAAAGGCGAATGCGCTAACCTCAGATCTTCCAATTTCTGGATTTGTGTCATTTAGACAGATATTTGGGGAGATGGAAATTCTTATTCACCAAAAAGGTCCCGCTCACATCTTCCAAATTTAAAAGACAGACTTACAAAAGAATAATAGTGATTGTTGCAGGTACCCAGACCAGGATGGAACTGTCCAGCCCACAGCTGTGCCAATGTTAATTGGCTGTAGGGATAGTCTGTCTCCTTCATGAAGAGGCTTAAACCTGGCATCATAGGTTGTGCTTACAGCTTTGAAACAGAAGCACTGATCAGGACCTCCTCAGTCCCCTTTCTTCTAAGTGACTGTCCCTAGATGCATCCTCACTGATGGAACAGGCCTAAGCAGCCATGTTTGTGCCCTGGGTCATGTCCCCAACACCTGATTGAACCAGGGTTGTTCACCTGACCCAAGCTGAAGCAATCAGATTCTTTGTCTCAAGAATTTGAAGTAAGAGCCAGATCCCATGAAGGTTAGATTAGTGGTTCTCAAATATGAAAACAAACAAAGCATACATTCAAGTCACCCGGAGGGCCTGATAAAACACAGATTGCTGGGCCTCATCCCTAGAAATTCTAGTTCAGCAGGTCTGGGATATGACCAGAAAATGTGCATTTCTCTTCTATTCTTTTTTTTTGAGACAGAGCCCTGCTCTGCCGCCCAGGCTGGAGTACAGTGCCATAATCTCAGCTCACTGCAACCTCTGCCTCCCGGGCTCAAGTGATTCTCCTGGCTCAGCCTCCCCGAGTAGCTGGGATTACAGGCACTTATTACCACGCCCAGCTAATTTTTGTATTTTTTAGTAGAGACAGGGTTTCACCATGTTTGCCAGACCGGTCTTGTGTAGGGGGAAGATCCCGTAAGTGCCAAGGCAGGAGCAAAAGGCCTCAGTCTATCTCCATATAAATAATGAAGAAAAAGGTAACTAGAAATATAACCATAGTAGTTATTAGTTATTCATATATGATCTTAGTTATTCGTAGGTGATCTTAATTCTTTTACTAATGCCTCTCAGGTCGGAAGTGTGAACCTGGGGCAACATTGTGAAATGAATGACACTAAGGCAAGATGCTTTAAGCCCTCTGTCACGCCCGCATAAGGGCTGCTGGAGGGCGCCTTGGCTGTGCAGCAGCGCCAGCGCTGTGAAAGTGCCCCATTTAGCCAGTTAGAGAAGGAGATGTCTAAAATGGCTGAGATGTCTCCTTCCTTGGGAAGTCTGGAGAAAACTCTCCTTCTTCAAGCTCTTGTGGTAGGCCTGATGACTGTCAGGCAGGCCCGTAGACATCTGGGGGTTAACTGTCTCTATGTGATGCTGTGCTTCGGTGGTCACGTTCCATGTCTACTCTCACGTTCTGCTTTTGCATCTGGTTCCTTTTTTCTTCGAAAAGATAATCAATAATAGTAATATAAATCTTAATGTTTTAGTTCTTTCTTGATAAGTATGGAAAAAGTGCTGATGCATTATGCTCCTTACCTTACTTCGGGTGCCAGAAATTCCTGAGCCTCTACCTGAATGATATGTGATGTACTTGACCCTATCACTGCCATGCCCTATCCACAGTCTCCAACCACCAAGACCACGCCCTACCTACCCTGTCCCCAGATTTGCAATTCAATAAAAGTGAGAGAGCCCCAGGATTCTGGGCCACTGCTGATCTCCACGATTTGGGTAGCAGTGGACCCCTGGGCCCAAATTCTCTTTTCTCTATCTCCATGTCTTGTGCCTTTTATTTCTACAATTTCTCGTCTCCGCACCAGCTGGGAGTGGCTCACAGAACCCTGTCGGGCTGGACCTTATAGTCTTGAACTCCTGAGCTCAAGTGATCCGCTCACCTTGGCCTCCCAAAGTGCTGGGATTATAGGCGTGATCCACTGTGCCCAGCAGAAAATGTGCATTTCTAACAAGTTTCCAGGTGATGCTTCCGTTGCTGGTCCAGGGACTACACTTTGAGAAGAACTGAGTTAAAAGGCATTGAGCGCAGCAGTGATACGTCATACAGATGTGATACATCATACAGATGTGAGCTCAGAATGCTGGCAAGAGGGGTCCACCTGGCTGTCTTAGGTTTGTGGGTGGGGGCACTGGAGGCTGGCCAGCAGAGAGCTGCAGGATCCAGAAACCTTGGCCCCAAACAGAGAGGCCTGCACAGCACTGAAGGCCCAGCCTGGCTTCCTTGTGAAGTTTCCCTTCCTGGCAATCACATACCCCAAGTCTGAAAAAAATGTTTAGGAAGGTTGAAACTGAGCCTCTGAAACATACCTGAGGACGAGTATGCCTATCCAGCATGGTGAGCTGCACATACGTCTGAAGCGTAAGGCCCCAGCGAGAGGCATCGTGATACATCAGGCCCTGCAAAAGGAAAAACACAGCACTTTCTGTCAAAGTGGCATCTGCAGGACCCTGGTCTCACAAGGCACTGAAAGACAGCTCAAGAAACCTACACAGGCAGAGTTGGAGCTGGAGATGAACCCAGCATGATCACGGGGCTCTGAGAGCAACGTGGACAAAGGCAGACACTAAAATAATTATAGGACGGTACGGTAACAGCTATAATAGAAGCCTATGGGAAGTCTCCAGAGGACCAGAGCAATTATGCCAGACAAAGAAATGAAGGGCATCCAAATTGGAAAGGAAGAAGTCATCTTCACCTTCTTCATGGACAATATGATCTTACACTTTGAAAAGTTTAAAGATTCAAGCCATTATCCTAAGCTAATTAATGTAGGAACAGAAAAACAAATACTGCATGTTCTCACTTCAAGTGGGTACTTATAAGTGGGTACAATGGGTACTCATGGACTTAAAGATGGCAACAATAGACACTGGGGACTCCTAGAGTGGGGAGGAAGGGAGGGGCAAAGGTTGAAAAAGTACCTATTGGGCACTATACTCAGTACCTAGGTGATGGGATCCATCATACCCTAAACCTCAGCATCATGAAATATACCCAGGTAACAAACCTGCACATGTACCCCCCAAAACTAATATAAAAGTTGAAATTACCAAAAGAAAAAAAAACCTTAAAGACTCTACCAAATAACTGTTAGAACTGATGAGCAAACTCAGTAATATTGCAGTATACAAATCAACATGCAAAAATCAGTAGCATGTATATACACTAACAGTGAACAATCTGAGAAAGAAATCAAGAAAGGAATCCTATTTGCAATAGCTACAAAGAATACAAAATACTGGCCGGGCACAGTGGTTCATGCCTATAATCCCAACACTTTGGGAAGTGGAGGCAGCCGGATCACTTGAGACCTGGAGTTCAAGACCAGCCTGGCCAACATGACGAAATCCCATCTCTATCAAAAATACAAAAAATTCGCTGGGTGTGGTGGCATGCGCCTGTGATCACAGCTACTCTAGAGGCTGAGGCATGAAAATTGCCTGAACCCAGGAGGCAGAGGCTCCAGTGAGCTGAGATTGCATCACTGCACTACAGCCTGGGCAACAGAGTGAGACCCTGTCTCTAAATAAATAAATAAATGTAAAATACCTAGGAATCCATTTAACCAAAGAAGCAAAAGATCTATACAAGGAAAACTATAAAACGATGATGAAAGAAATTGAAGAAAACAGACAAAAAATGGAGATATTCTATGCTCATGGATTAGAATAGCTAATATTGTTAAAATGACAGTACTACCCAAAGCAATTTATAGATTCAATGTAATCTCTATCAAAATACCAATGGCATTGTTCACAAAAACAGTAAAAAAAATCCTAAAATGGATTTGAAACCACAAAAGACCCCAAACAGTCAAAGCAATCCTGAGCAAAAAAAAAAAAACAAAGTTGGAGGCATCATACTACCTGACTTCAAAATGTACTACAAAGCTACAGTAACAGCTAGGCACACTGGCTCTTGCCTATAATCCTGTCACTTTGGGTGGCCAAGGTGGGAGGATGGCTTCAGGCCAGAAATTCAAGCCCAGCCTAAGCAACATACCAAGACCCCGTCTCTACAGAAATTAAAATAAGGAAATTTAGCCAGACATGGTAGTACACACCTGTAGTCCCAACCATCTGGAAGCTGAGGCAGGAGGATCGCTTGAGCCCAGGAGTTCAAGGTTACAGTGAGCTATGACTATGCCAACTGTGCACCAGCCTGGGTGACAGAGCAAGACCCTGTCTCTAAAAAAAGATTAAATTAACAAAATGCTATAATACTCACATCAGCCTGGTACTGACATAAAAACAGACACAAAGACCAGTGGAACAGAATACTCAGATATAAATCCATGCATTTACAGCCAACTCATCTTTGACGAAGGTGCCAAGAACATACAATGGGGAAAGGACAATCTCTTCAATAAATGGTGCTGGGGAAACTGAATAACTATATGCAGAACAATGAAACTAAACCCCATCTCTCACCATACACAAAAATCAATCAAAAATGGGCTAAAGACTTAGAAATATGAGACTTGAGACTATGAAACTACGAGGAGAAACCACTGGAGAAATGCTCCAGGCCATTGTCTGGGTGAAGGTTTTTCTGTGTAAGACCCAAAAGCAGAGGCAACTAAAGCAAAAACAGACAAGTGGGATTACATTAAGCTACAAAGCTTCACAGGAAACAAGCAACAAAGTGAAGAGATAACTCACAGAATGGGAGAAAATGTTTGCAAGTTACCCATCTGACAAAGGATTCATAACCAGAATATATCAGGAGCTCAAACAACTCAATAGTAGAAAAAAAATTCTGATTTTTAAATTAGCAACAGATCTGAATAGACAGTTCTCAAAAGAAGATGTAAAAACAGCCAACAGATATATTTTAAAATGCCCAACATCACTAATAATCAGAGAAAAACAAATCAAAAGTACAATGAGATATCATCTCACCCTAGTTAAAATGGATTTTACCAGGCCGGGCGCGGTGGCTCAGGCCTGTAATACCAGCACTCTGGGAGGCTAAAGTGGGTGCGTCACCTGAGGTCAGGAGTT